CAAAATAAAAAGAGCCAGAAATGGCTTGTCTGAGACTCCTGGCTGGCTGGTCCTATTATTAAAGGGAAGTTAAAAAATATAACTTGATCACAATATGGGATCAGAGACTGCTGATGGCTCACAGAGATGGCCTTGTTTTCCAGGCATTTACTTTGGACAGTCTTAGGCACAGAGATAAAGTAACTTACTCAGAGCCCACAGCTGGTCAGATGTCGTCTGACCTCTGAGTTGTGTGTGGGGAGAAAGGTGCATATTTTCCTCTCTCTGCAGGACACCCCTGGTATGCCCAGCCCACAGGAGCTGCATCAAGATCTGATAATACTGGTATTTTCACATCAGAATGTTAGTGTCTTTTAAGAGTACATATTTTTTGTGTCTTTTCTTCTTGTACGCCAGTGTCTTCAGAGTTTAATTAGATGCCAGTCTAAGAATGCCTGGATTTATAGCCTAAAGATGGCTATGTCCTAAAAGGGGGTACCCATGATAAGAAGCAGTTTGCCTTTGCCTCTCATGGGGAGTGGGCAAGGACAGCCTTCCTTGTGTTCTTGGGATCTGAGGGGAAGGAATACTGTCAGCAGGAGGGCATGCACAATTTATCAAGCTCCAGTTCCAAAAATGCCCACTCATGGGTGCAGAGCAGCGAGGTGTGTGATGAACTGATGCCTGAGATGCCCCACCTCTGAAGGGGCACAAGCAACCCCACAGCCCTCCTGGATTCTGTGACTCTGTTAAGTGCTAAAAATTCACTGGTATGTGAAATTCTCTTTCCTTTTGAGTTCTCTAAGAATGCTCAGGGCCGCAAGCCTCAACCTTACCTGCACTCGGGAGTGCCCAGCGAGCATCGGTGGCTCGCCTGGCCGGGGCTGGTGCCTGGCCTGCCCGGGTCCTTGCAGAGCCCTGTGCCGTGTGAGGCAGCATTTTTGTCCTGCAGGTACAGTAGGTACTGGATTAAACAAGTCTGCTGTTGCAGACAGACACCAGGCACCTTAAGCAGGAGCTGTGTTTGGATTGGAGTTTCCAGGGCCTTATCAGGAGCCACCCCTAGTGACACAGCCAGTGCCAGAGCTCACTTTGACTTTCACTCTCCGCCAAGGGCTTGCAGAGCACCGAGCAGGAAAAGATGGAGGCGCTGAGAGTTCAGATGTTCATGCCCTGCGCCTTTGAAAGCTTGTATCTGTAAGTGAGGTCTCATGCTGGAAATAACCCAGGGACCACTTAACAGGAGTTTGTTTTTAAGGGGGAGGCCAGGGAAAGGGAAGGTTATTTGGGGGAGTTAAAAATACTGAAACTGTTACTTTGTGACTGTGGCTTTCCCCAGCTTGGCTGTGCCCCTAGGAGGTGGATATGACAAGGAGAACTTCGAATGTGGGGGATCGAAATGCTAGCCTCTCTGCGTTTTTGTTTAAAAGCAAATGTTGGTCTTAAATTCAAAATGCCCAGAAATGTCTGCTTGAAAAGCCTGAGAACAGAGCTTGATTCATGATTACAGGGTAGACTGTAGTCTAGCATTGTTATGAATTGAAAAGGATTTTCTCAGTAAAGAGTGTGCTTAATAGTAACATTTGTCAGAACTGTTCCATTGCAGGTACTCCTCCTCTCTCCTCCTCTCTCATTCCTGACTGTGAACAGTCAGCAGTTGCATTAATATACATCTCCTTTGCATTTCTATACATTGACTGTTTTCTCTTGGAGAAGAAAACACAACATCCAAACGTCAGAATCATGTGCCTGGAATATACATATAGAACGAATTGGAAATAGTCAGTTTCAAAGAAATACTAAAACGGGGGAATACTAAACGGATACCTCTCCCCACCTTCTTGAACATTTACTTTCAGCGTTAGGTGATAAGATTTGACAACAATACCAAAAGCTGGGTCCCTAAGTGAATAGGCATTGAAGCAGATCAACTCATGCAAAAGCCACCCTGGAGCTTAATAATTATTTAGGAGCCTTCCTGGGTCGTGAGAGAGGCTCTGATTAAGTCGACAAGCTCCATGCTCAGCAGCTTGTGAAGGTGTGTTTAAAGGCGGCGAGAAAATGGAAAAATACTACATGTAGCTGAACTATTTTGAGAATCTGATTCTTAAAAAAAATTCCCACAAATTTAAGTATGGTTCAAGTTCATCGTGTTCAGAGTTATATCTTAAAAAGTCTTAATAGCTGTTAAAATGATTTTTAATTTCTTGTGCTAGTTTTGCTGTTTTGAATTTGCTTTTATAGATTTTTTATACTGTGTGTCATTAAAACAATTTAATTACTTATCCCTCTAAAATGATAAGCATTTCTATGAACAAAGTATATGTAATTATGTATTTAAAATGTCATCACACTAGAAATTTCTGCTTTGTAAATCAGATAATAGTGAGATGATAATCGCCCCTGTGACTCATACTCCATAAGAATGTCCTTTATAACTTCATAATTTTTAAAATATTAATTTTAAATTAATGGATGTCATGAGTGGCTAAAGCATGTCATTCTGATGCAGCCTAAGAACAGTGGTGATGTCACCCTTGAATGTGCACCCAAATTAATTCTTGATTTCAACAACTTTTGCTTAATTATTTTGAATTTTTTGTTCTGGTTCACTAAAATACTTGCCGTGGGAGCATGCTTCCCCTATAAACTTTCAGAATGAAATTCTTAGCACATATCTTTGACAAAACTTGTTCACTGAGCTGTTGCCCATTAACTTCTTTGTGCCTGTTATTTCAGGGAGGGCATATACTGTGGATTAATTATTTCTTCTGCATTTTCCTCTAGGAAAGCAAAGGGACACTATAGCAACATTGAGAGTTTTGGCTTTCTAGAAAATAACTTCAGTTTTCACTAGTGGAGAGAAGCTGAGATAGATACTCAGAGAAGGCGAGTGCAGGAATTAAAACACAGTAGGGAAGAAATCATAGCCAAACTTTTACTGGTCGTCTGCATGGGGTGTGGGCCAGCATTCACTAACACACTTAGTTCTCAGAGCCACTCCAAGACAGAGGCGCTTTTTCTGCCTCCATTTTGCGATGAGAACATTGAGGTTTGGGCAGGTGAAGTCACAGCTGAAAAAGGCAGAGCCGGGATTTCACCTGGGCATTCCTGCTCCAGGGCTCCCGTTTTCTCTGTGCGTGCTATGGATTTTCATTCAGGATCCTAAGTGAATTGATATTTCTTCCTCTCCCTTTTTATTGATGGGTCTCCCCAAGCCCCGATTCCTGAATTACCCAAACTTTAACTCATTCAGCTGTTGAGGGGGCACAGATAGTCCAATGCTACAGTATTTGTCTCTCAAGTGTATTTCCTTGTGTCAAATTAACTACTGATTATAAGGCAACTGTTTGAGGGAGGAGAAAACTCTATTACATATATACATAGATTATAAGATCTGTTTTGACTTGGAAAGTCTTAAAATGCAAAGGGAAACTTTGTCTTAGAATTAAGGAAATACAGTCTCTAGAGCTCAGATGTCCTTGGAAAACTGTGTCTCTCTCCTGAATGATTTAATCCGCTGGTTTGAGTGAAGGTCTTCCAACACCAAGCTTCTAGTATTATCTGACTTTATGAGGTGGGGTATTTGTTAGGATAGGGACACCAGATTTACCCATTGAACATATATTTATTTCATTCCACTATGTGCCAGATATTTGTCTCGGTGCTGGGGAGTCTGGATGTGAATAAAACAGAAATTCCTACCCTCATGAATGACCAGGTATATTCCAGCCCCATCGTTAAGTCAGGGGAGGGGCTCACCCTCACCGTCCAAAATGGATGCTGAGCTCCTGCCATTACAGCCAGATTCCAGGGGATATGATTGCAGAAGTTTCAAAGAACAGTATATCTCTTTAAGGAGAGTTCCTGGAGGTGCCACATGACATTGCTGCTTAAATCTTTTTGGCAAAACTTAGTCATGAAGCCAGGCTAGTTGCTGGAAAGCTGGGGGATGTTGTAGGTGGCAGTGTACCAGCCCACATGAGGAGAGAACAGGAATGGATAGTAGGTTGGCTGAGCTGTAACTCTGGCTGAAACTGTGATGATATTTTTTTCAAAATAACTAGTATTTTCTAAAATGTCACAAAAAGCGTTTGTGGTACACCAGAGCACATCAGACTGGTGTAAGCAGAAACGGAGAGTGGCCTGGTAAATCGACATCCACCACGCAGGCTTAGCCAGGCGTCAGGGACGGCGTGATGCAGGCGCTCACTGTCCAAGCACCAGCTCCTCCTCCGTTTGTCCTTCTCAGTTCTCTGTTCCCTTTCATCTACTCTGGCTTTTTTTTTCAGACAGGCCCAGAAAGTTTCAAATTCACATTCTACATTCTACCATTTTTCCAAACCTTAGTATAAAGAGAGTTATTCTACCCCAGTAGTTCTCGTCAAAGGCATAGGGCTGACTCTTACTGGATCACCTTGTAGCATGAACCCACTCACTGTGATTGGCCAACCTGGGGTGTGTCCCTATGTCTGGAGTTAGTAGCACCCCCATAACCTCATGAACTGAAAGTAAGGAGGAAGGTTCTTCAAAGTGAAATCAAGGTGTTTTGCCAAGGGAGTGGGACAGGATCCTGGGCAGGCATAAATATCGTGTGAGCGCCGTAAGTCATTACTTCTAATTTGTAAGGCTGCCTCCTGCACCATGCCCGGTGCGCCCACCGTAGTCTGTGCTTTTGCCTTGATTTCCACACAGTGTTGCAAACTTAGTTAACATGCAGTAATTGTTCAGTGATGGCAGGGTAAGGCTTTTGAGTCTTCTCTGACTTGTTAAGGTGTTTAGACAAGCACACAGAGCGTACCCTGTGCCTGGGGCAGCCATTCAGGTAAGGACAGAAGGGCTTCCTGTCTGAAAAGATCCTCGCAGTTACTTTCACACTGATGCTCCGAGTTCTGTCCTTAGAGCGGCCGAGCTTGGGATAAAAAGGTCTCCCTTTTAAAATACTCTAGGCGGGATATCGTACCATGCTGTACCAATTACATGCGCCTCGTAGGGGCGAGCTTCTCAGAACCCTTTAAAACATGGCACTAGGAGCGAATGGGGTTCCACAGTCGGACAGAGCGGGGAGAATTCCCGAGTGGGCTGTGCTGGGCGCACGCCGATGGGAAAGAGCGCCGGAGCGGCGGCCGCAGCCTCGCCTGCGCCGGGCCCGCGGAGGCGCTGGCTCTCGAGACTGTCTTGAAGGGACTCGAGCGTGGAGGGTCAGCTACACCAGAGTGGCATCTGTGGAAATGGAGAGCAGCGTGGCCGCACAGTGAGGAAATGGCGTCCTCATGCCCTTGGTTGAAAATATTTTTATTAAGAGACTGAGGTTCTCCTTAGTCGGAGCCTGTAGAAGCGAGAAACTGGGAGTGGTGAAAAGAACCAACTTAAAAAGCCTGAAGACGAAAACTGCCTGGAAGAACATTGTTCATGTACGACTGAGCTCTAGGAAACATCTTTAGTCATCACTCCTAGTTAAAGAGTTTTTTTCAAGCATACTCTCTCAACATATTTTATTCTATAAATTGTGTACATGTCCCACTGCACTAATTATATATTATACAACATCTACAAAAACATAAAATAAAAATGATGGAATAAAATGAAAATTAAAATGTTTTCTTCCTGTGCCCCGGGTGTCATTTTTGTGAAGAATATTGCTGTACTGGGAACATTATTAAGGTTCTCTTGATTTTCAGCTAACCAGCTATTGAGATTACTCTCAGTGGAACCAGCAGAAGGTCCAGGTTAAGGAATACTAATCTTGGATAGATATTGAGAACCTCCCTTTCTTATGAGCTAATTGGGGTCTAGATGTTGAGCAATGAAATTTCAGATTTTAGCTTATATGTTATTGGTGGTTCTTACTTTTTAGTATGGTTTCCTCCTTCTGCTTAATGAAAGCCACAGAGCCCCAGTGACAGGAGGACCATCGCTGTGGACCCCGTGGGATCCCTCATGCTCAGCAGACCTGGCTTTTGGAAAGCATTCAAAGATTTGTTGAAGGAAAGAAGGGGAGAAAGACTGGCTACACCTTTCAAGCCCTTTTTATTTCTTCTGCTCCAGAAACCTGTAGTATTTGTTGATTGAGCTGGTAATATTACTGGAAAATGCTGGAATTTTGGCTGGTCGTCTTCTTTTTTTTTTTTTTTTTACTGCTAAAACCCAGGGTTGGCAATGACAAAAGTCCAGAAGATCTCAATTTTTGAAGTCAAACTGAAATCTGGTACTTTCCCATTTCCATGGTTATACTCAGCTATTTTAAGTACAAAGGACAGTTTCTTACTTTCTTACTTCAGTTTCAACATTTTTTAATTTGTACTTGCTCCCACGAAGCATGGTGAACAAATTATCCTTACATGTACAGGGCTGTTGCTTTGGAAGGATTGGAAAGGTGTGCTGATCATTCTGAAATGTTTGTGTGTCATTTAGAAAGACGGATCCGTTTGCCAATCTTGCTTCAGTGAGTTGTACACTTGGGGGCACTTTCAAAAGACTCCTAAGAATTTCTTTCAGCTGACAGAACAAGTTGGTTGGGGGCAGTTTCTATAGATTCTATATGTTCTTTCTAGTTATGATAAAGTAGTTACGTTGTGACTATAAAGATCCACTGGTAGTTTCTGGACTGACATATTTGTCTGTCTGGGTTCATGGACTATTGTCAGGCTGAGTAGGCCTCCCTGTTCCATCCCATCCTCACCTTGATTCTGTACGGGAAGGACTCTTCAGAGCTCCTGTCAGGCTTCTGGAAGTGGGAATGGAACGTGCATTTCCTCTGACACAGATGAAAGCACTCTTGTCTAAGGATCAGAGGTGTGGGTTCAGGCCCCAGCTGCAACCCACGGCTGGGTGATCTTGGGTGTTTGACTTTTAGTTTCCAAACATGGCTACCCATCAGAATCAACTGCAGAATTTTTTAGAAAGATTTTTTTTTTCACTTTTAGAGAGAAAGGAAGGAAGAGGGAAAGAGAATCATCGATGGGAGAGGGAAACATCGATTGGCCGCCTCCTGCATACCCCCTGCCAGGAGTTGAGCCTCAAACCCTGGCATGTGCCTTGGCCAGGAATTGAACCAGCAACCCTTCAGTGCCCAGGATGAGGCCCAACCAACTGAGCCACACCAGCCAGGGCAACTGCAGAATTTTTGTGGACATATTGATTCCTGGGACTTCCCTAAACTGAAATCAATTTCTAAGGATGAAGACTGGGCATTTGGTTTTAGACAGAGTCTTCGGCTGATTTTGTGATAGCCAGCCTTGTGCATTTGGAACCCCTGTGGCTTCACCTATCCATGACATAGCTTTCCCACTTGTGCTTCGGGAAGCTAAGATTACTGTGCCTTCTGGGTCTCCACTGTGGCTGTGGGCATCACACTGTGCTTTCCTGGACAGAATCGCATTGTGTCCTAGTGCAGGCAGATGCTAGGCTTTGAGTTCTATCAACTGAATGATTATAATGAATATTAATTTTTCCTGGAGGAAAATGCTAGGATTTTTACTTTATGACCTGTGATAACGTAGGATAAATTCTCTTCACCTCTGAAAAATTTTGTCAGGTTCTCTGAATTAAATATGGATGCCTGAACCTCAAAAGACGAATCTGCTATGGTCCAGACTTGCATAGAGGTGTAATGCAGAGTTGCTTCCTTGCATCAGGAAAGAAGTAGCATGTTCCTAATTTAATACCATTTTTTAAAACTAAGTTTTGAACTCTTTTCCCGTTTATTGGACTATGAGTCAGTCATGTGCTTAACTTTTTTAAAAAAATGGATTTTTCGGGTAACATTGGTTTACAAAATCATATAGGTTTCAAATGTACAACAAAAAATATGGAACGCTTGATGCGTTTGCAGGCCACCCTTGCGCAGGGGCCGTGCTAATCTTCTGTGTGTCTTTCCAGTTTTAGTGATGTGCTGCTGAAGTGAGCACCTTTTTTAGCTTTTTACGTCTATTGCAAATTTTAATCATCATCACAGTGCTGACAGGCAGATGTATGAAACACTCTTTATAAATAAGAAAAATCAGAGCTCAGAGATGGACTAACTTGGCCACTGTTGTAGGTTAGCAAATGGCAGAGCTTGATTCTGTGTAAGGAAATGAAAAGAGGAAATGCAGGAAAACTTTTATCAGCTGCTTCAGCCCAGAGAACAAGTTTCAACTGACCACCAGTCTCCTGCCATGATGACCTGGTGTGGAGACCAGAGCCTGAGAAACAAGGTCTAGTAAAGGGTTTGGCATCACTGTGGAAGGTGAGGAGAGGTCAGGCAGATGCTGTTTGGATGCTGGGGTAATGCGTTTCTTGGGATTTCTGATGTACCTAAATGGCTAATGAAGGCAGTGGAATTGACTCTCTGATTTGGGAATATGCCAGATAATTTGGAGCCCAACTCCACCAGGTACCTGTGGCTCCCTGGTGTCCAATTCCGGCCACTGGGCTGAGCACTTTAGCCAACATTCACTCATTTAATCAGGACAGTACCTTTGAGGGGCTGGGAGAGGTGGGATGGCTCCTTAGAAATCGCTGCTCACCAGTGACTGAACCAGAATTTGAGCCCAGTTGATGGCAGTCCGGCAGTCACTGTTCTGCAGTTCCCAGTTCTCAGGGAAGTTGTGTGTCTGCTTCAGTCACTCAGATATGTGCCAGTAACGGCTTTTGCCTCTTTAGTTGGCTTTCAGAGGGTGATTTCTAATGGTGAGATGTATACCTTCCCATGTGGAACTAGATAACTGTCAGATAATCTAGATAACTGACTTAATTTTAAGGCAACATAAAAATGATATGTCTGTCCATGGCTTTAAACTCTATGAGATTAGAGACCAGGTAGTCCCAGCACCTGGCACGGAGGAGACACCCAATACCTAAAGGGTGTCCACAAAAAAATGGATACATACACTTTGAATAATTATAAAGGCTGTGCTTATTAAAATACATTTCATTTTCAAAATTAAGCTATTAGCTGTTACAGTGTTTATACATTTTTGGGGACACCCTGTATTTGTTGAATAAATGACCTTTACATAATCTGATGAAAAGGAATCAGACCCTTGGAATTAGGATTGTCTAAGGCAGATCAAGCTTCTTCGGCCCTGTATGAGTTCAGTTAGCATCTAAAATTAAATACATTTGGACAGCTCTCCTTGCCCACCGTCAGTGGTTTCAGTATCAGGTTCTCATTTTACAGTACAATATACAGTTTACAAACTAAGACTTTTTAAAAAGGAGATAATAATTAGAAAAAAAAATTAAAATCACACAATAAAAAAAAGACAATACATGTAGAAATTTTGCTTTTTTCCTGGATACTTATGCAAGGTTGTAGTATAGAATTGTACACCTGAAACCTATATAATTTTATTAACCAATGTCACCCCAATAAATTCAATAATTTTTTTTTAAGAAGAAAAAATACAATTTGTGGTTACTTGTTATGTTCTCACCTCAATTACGAGTTTAAAACATTTGTGCTCATTTGTCTTGCTAATGTTTAGAAGTATGGGCATCTTCATTTTTGTCTACAAGGTGATCATTACAGATTCAATTATTTCTAAGAGAAAGGGATTTTTAAAATACTGAAAGTAAAGCTGAGAATCTGGGAGTTATCTTAATGCGCAGAAATATCCCACCCACCGGGAGTGTGTGCAATGAGGTGGCTACAATCTTCCTTTGCACTTTAGTTTTGGAAGATTTGTTAAAAGTGTCAATTAGTGAGCTCTGCTAGGTTTTCTTTAGTGGGCTTTCCTTTTATTTATATGGATCTACTGTTTAAATATGTATTTTTTTTTTTTCTGATTGGACATTTCAGTAAATAAGTGATATTGTTACCAACTTTAAAGTCCCAAGCCTTGATGTGGTTAATAACTCGTAATTTTAATTTAAGGTGTCTCAAGAATGCCTCACTGTTAATTGAAAGCCCCCCTCCCCCGTATCACAGCGAATGGCTGTCCAAGCAGCTAATTAGTGCGATTACTCCACAGCTGCGTCCGCGCGGCACAAAGCTGTGCTCCCGCTTCTACCTAAGGGTCAGCCTCTCTGGAGATGTCTAACCTGACAGGCCGTGAATAGCAAGCCGCTCGCTTATGTGCGGACTTTAAATAGCACCCCTGCTTTTCCCCAGTTAGGGAAGTGCACTTTAGTTTAATGGCCTCCTGGCAGCAGATCTCCACCAGCTGAGTAGATGGCCCTAACGGCTACTTCGATCACGTGGATGGGTTCGTGGGGTTACCCCTGAGTGGGGTGTCGCCGTTCTCCAGCCCGGTGTGTCAGTGGGCAGCTGTGAAGAGGAGGGTGGAACGCCCCAGATTCTGAAGACTCCAAGAGAACCGCGTGTGGGGGGCTGTCACTGTGTCCCCAGCTTACTGTCAAAATACTGTCTATATGGACAGTCCCCTTTTTCTAACAAATGGTGACTTTGATCACTCAAGTCATTTTTTCATGTTCTTAAATTAGCAGCATATATGGTCTGCCCTTGAGAAAAATCATCATGGCTTTATTTAGCTTGGGGGAAAAAGACTAAAAAAGAAGTTTACCTGTAACTCCGCTCCCGCTCTGGCAGCTCTGACCCTGTCCCTCATCCCTGCTGGCCATGTGAGTGCGTTTGTGAGCCTACACGCACTCTTCTTACTTTAAATTAGGATGTAAGTAAATTTTGAACCTGACTTTTTAATTGACTCTTATTATATGCATTTTCCACTTTGCTCTGTAGTCTGTATTTTTAAAAATATTGTCAAATTCATGTATCATTCACGTATTATGACTTAATTAAAACCTATTTTCTGCTTAATAAATCTCTGAAGTGGTTTTGTTTTCCCCCATCCTTGTTGAGGTATAGCCAACACAGACTGTCTATACTTGAGGTATATGTCTACATGTACGTATTGTGAAATGATTGCAATCAAGCTACATAACACATCTGCCACCTCACGTTACCTTTTTTTTTGTAATAAGAATTATTACCTGTAGCCTCTGTGCTGCACCTCGGATCCCAGAATGTGCTCATCTTGTAACAAAAACTTCGTACCCTGTGACCAACATTTCCTTGCATAATTTACTTAACCATTCTCAATAAATGTAGGGATACAGAATATTTTGCAATTTGAAAATAGCTTTGTAATATCAGGTTCTCCACATTTTGTGTTATTTCCTTAGGAAAGTTGTCAACTAATGAAATGTTGAATCAGATTACATGAAAAATTTCATAGCTTTTGATAATGCTGTTGTTTTCTTAAAGACTGTAATAATATATACCAGCAATGGCTCAGAGTGGTAAGTATCATTATACTTCTTCATTAGTGAACATTTTTTAAAAATTGGATCATACCTTGAATACTATTTTGCATCTGGCTTTTCTAACATTATTATATTGTGTCCTTGCACTACTTCCACTACCCGCCTGACACATACATACACAGTTATTATAGTATTATTGCTGTACTTTATATCCCCTATTTTGTGACTGTTTTGTGACTACCAATTTGTACTTCTTAATCCCTTCACCTTTTTTTTTCTAAATCCTCACCAGAGAATATGGGGTTTTTTAAAATTTTTTATTGATTTTTTGAGAGAGAGAAGGAAGAGGGAGGGAGAGAAACCGATCAGTTGCCTCTCGTACACACCCCAACTGGGGATCAGCTGGGGCTTGAACCCTCAACCTGGGTGTGTGCCCTAACTGGGAATCAAACCCACAACCCTTCAGTGCATGGGATGATGCTTCAGCCAACTGAGCCACACCAGCCAGGGCAGTCCCTTCCCCTTTTCCACCTAGTCTCCCAACCCCCTCGCCTCTGGCAATCGTCTTTTCTCTGTGTCTATGAGTCTGTTTCAATTTTGCTTGTTCATTTATTTTGACCTTTAGATTCCACAATAAGTGAAATCATGTGGTATTTGTGTTTCTCTGACTGACTTATTCGGTCCATCCATGCTATTGAAAATGATGAAGTATATGGTTGTCTAACCTCTATTCTGTACACCTGAAACTAATACAAAATAATATTGAAGGTAAACTGTGATTGAAAAATAAAGTTTTAAGTTCTTTTAAATAAAATAAGTGAAAAATTAAGCATGCGTTAAAAGAATGAATAAAAATAAGTTGGTTATACTATGCAGTTTTTATTCAGAACAATAAATATATTTCTTTACCATTTTTAATGGCTGCGTACTATTACGTTATGTGAACCTGCCACAGTTTACAGTTTACTGGAGCAGTTTCCTGTGGTGAGTTACAGGTAAACTGCCAGCAGGATTTTTACGGTGTAGGTTTCTGGGAGTGCGGGCAGGGCAGCATCCTCCTGCGAGTGTGAAGGAGCTCTTCAGCGTGGGCAGTGGCTAAAGGCTTTAGTTTTTGTTGTTAAAAGATAAAGGCAATAGTGGGATTTAGTCTCAAAAAAGGTACTTCTGTTGAAGAGTGACTTTCACATGAGTAAATATTTTCTCAAATGTTACCTTTTCTCCATTTCTAGGTGCTCAGATTTTGTACTGTTTGTTCTAAACATATTTTTTAGAAAAGCATATTGCTAGAAATAAAGAACATTAAATTTTCTAGATAATAATAATAGCAACAGTGACTGTTTATTGAGGCGGTGCTGCATGGTGGTGCGCACCGTACTAGGGGATTTATGCGAGTTATTTTATTATGTTATGTAAGCCTCGCAAAATCCTTCTGAGCTAGGGCTTTAAAATACGGTGATGCAACGGAAATGTATGAAACACCTCCCACTTTGATAAGCGGGTAATTGGGCAAAATTGTCATTACCTCTTTTTTCTGGATGCATCAATAACTATTGATGTCAGAGAACTGGCACGATCAGCGATCGAAAACCATCTTTAGGAAAATTAGGAAGTCTTTTTTTCACTTATGACTAGGTCTGAGCATTTTAATACTTTTGGGAGCCTAAGTCCCCAACTATGCGAAGCAGGCTTCCTGGGGAACTGGCAGAGCGCACATAGGAGGGCACGCCGCGCTGGTCAGAGAAGACAGTGCAAAGACAGCCAGGCGGAGGGGAATTGGGTGTCAGAGCAGCTTGTCTTCCGCCCCTTTCCCGAAGACTAAGGTCAAGTTCAGTGTGAACATTCTCCAAATACTTCTTTCATGAATGATTTTTACTTCCCATACCGTAGGACAATACTGACAAAATGCACCTTTCCTCTGAGGCATGCCGTGTTAGTAAACATGTTAGGCATCTTCAAGGAATTGGGACATGTAGGAGTCATTACTTGGTTAGATTCGGTTATAAAAAAGCAAATCAAGCAATTCACTTTAAATGTGGAAATCCGGGTGCACTGCGATGCATCGCTTCTGGGCTCTGTGTGGTGGCTCTGTATTTGGTGGTGATGAGTAACGTGCAGTATAAAATGTCAGAGAAGAACCAATTTAAGCCACATGATGAAACTGCCTAGATGTAATCAAGATGACTTTTTTAATTTGACTGCTGATGATTTCAGTGCTGTCGCCTCATGATTCTCAGTTATGTGGAGACTACTCTGTGCCTTGATTACATTTGTACAGGCTCATTCCATAGTTGGCTGCAATTTAGGGTACCCCAAAATGCAAATGAAAGGTCTCATTAGGAAACTAAATATGTGTTTTTTTGGTTTTCCCACAACAGTTCCGAGGAGCATCCTGGGGCCTCCAAGCCTCCGATAAGCTCCTCCAGTATGACATCACGCATCTTGCTACGCCAGCAACTCATGCGTGAGCAGATGCAGGAGCAGGAGCGCAGGGAGCAGCAGCAGAAGCTGCAGGCGGCCCAGTTCATGCAACAGCGAGTGCCTGTGAGTCAGACCCCAGCCATAAACGTCAGCGTGCCCACCTCCCTTCCCTCCGCCACCCAGGTGCCGATGGAAGTCCTTAAGGTACGTGAGTGTCGCTCTTGTTGGCTGGATCAAGCCCTCTGCCAAACCAACGCTTTCCATTTTCTAGGTGTTTTATTTATCTGAATGTGGGTTTGGTCCTATTGACCTGTCTGAATCATGTTTTCATTGCTGACCCCATTGATTCCTCCATGGCTTTGTATTTTAAAAGACAGCTACATATCCTGTAAATGTAGTGGTGACCTCATTTGGTGGGGGAAGAGCGATGTTCCATGGGAAATCCGAGTGGGAGTAGGTGTCTGCTGTAGTACTTTCCACCTTTCTTTGGGAAAGTTTCAGAATGTACAAGTTAAAGTGAGCCTCTTCTGATAACTTATATACATTTCCCCCAATACATTCCATGGCTATTATTTAATTTCCTTTTCTATTTAGTAAATAACCTTGGCTACAGAGCCTGGCTCTTTCAGAAGGTTTTAGGTATAACCCTGTAGAAGAGCTTCCTATGCTTTAACGACCAGAGTGCACGACCCTTGAACTGAAGTGAGTTGTCTGTTGTGGGTCTTTGATTCCTTGCTGGAGTGGAGAATGCAGGAGCCTGTTAGCGTCATTCAATCAGGGACATACAGCTTCCTAATTATAGGAAAATGGTGACATCTGAGACTGGACTTCCATCTCACACACATGTCCTCCACATCACATTGGGAGGTACTCCGAGTTTAAAGATAAACATGCTAACTTGGAACATGACTGATGCACGGAAAATAAGAAAAGTTCCCTTACTTAAATTTTTTTTTAACCCATTCACCTAATTGATTCATTCTGAAGAGTCCCGAGTGTTGCTGTTCGTCAAACAATGGGAACTTCACACACCAATGATTCGTTGCTGGTTCCTGCCTTCATTTGTCTGGTCAAAAAACCATCTCCCACTATTTAAAGTTTACTGTTAAAGCAAGTAGAGGGAGGATGTGTTATAACTGGAAAGCAAAAGGTGATCCTTACCAGGAAGTAGGAAAGAGATCCTTTAAAAATAAATTTAAAGTAAATTGTTTTTTATTTGCAAAGACTTTTAAAAAATGTAGTGATGAGATAATAAAGTTCTTTAATGGAAGAAAATGATTAAAATTCTGTTAGAGCACAAAAGACCCAAACAGTTTAGCATGAAAGTTTACTCTAATGTGATTGAAGTTCTGGATATTGCCTCAATTCATAGATATTTTATCTCCACCCCACCCCCAACCCCCTAACTAAAGGCAAGGTTTTCTCTTAGGAATAGATTATATATTAAAACTTTCTGTTCTACTTGGGTGAAGACTGGCAATCACTGAGTTTTTATAGATTTAAGATTTATTTAAGACTTAAGTTGTCTACTGTTCACAGAAATCACAATTGTTTTGTTTATTCTTTAGATTATTTGAAGTGATCTGAATTAGCAATAAAATGTGGAGAAATATGTCTATTTTATTCACTGTAATAGTCAGCTTTTTAGATCTGAAGGTCAAATTTTAGAAGAGATAATATGGGGTTGTGCTAGTAGTAGCTTATGTCCAATTCAAAGGTAATATTTGATATATATTAAAGTATATTAATTGAAATCAATATTCCTATTAAGGATATTAGATCCCATGGTGGGGAAATTATCCAAATGCAAATGTGTTGAAACATTTCCACATCATCTTAAAACTGGACATCATTCCTAAATGTTTTTGTTATTTAAAACATGTTAATTTTAAAATGATTAAAATTAAAATCTTTACTCCGTGGTTTGAATAATAAACACATTTTCTTTGTGTGCTGTGGTTTAAGGGTAATACTGGCTTGAGCTGCCGTCCCCACTTTAGGTGAGCCAGGAACAAGTCCCAAGTTAAAGCACAAATCAGCCGTCAGAACTGGGAGACTTAACCTAACTAAACGTGAGCAGTCGGTAGGTTATATTTCATGTTGGACGTAGTTGATCTGCAATGTGCATAGTTTTACACTTGAATTGTGTGAAGTAGTGACGTGTGTCAGGTAAATGAAGAACTAGAGCTGTTGGCATAGCAACGAGGACGGTCTCACAGCTATTTAGAGAGATTTTAGGAACCTTAAGACCAAATAAAAATATATGATTTCATATGACATTCTAAGAAATTCAAGTAAGATTTTTAAGGAGAGTATTGTATTAGTGATTGCTTCAGATACTTAAAGACTTGGTACTTTATAAAAAGTGTTTACGTATTTTTTAAAGTTTTACTGTATAAAAATATTATGAAATACTTATTATGGAAAGGTAAGTGAGATAAATAGGGTCTTTTTTCTTTTCCCTTTTAAACCATAGGCATAATTTTATAAAGTAAATGGTTAATAGCAAAAACAGTTAATTTGCTCAATCCTTGACCATTTTTGGATGAATTTATATATTCAAGGAATGGGTAATATCAAGTATACTAATTGAGTGCATTATTATACAGACCATATTGAATAAGCATTTTTGCATAGTGTAGCCTGGGTAAACTCTTCATTTAATCTTTAAAGATTTCAATTGTCAAAACGGAACACACCTGCTCCTTGGTGGAGGTAGAGGTGTAGTGCGTGCTCGAGAGTCCTGGTGAAACCTTTCTGTCTCCCACGGGTTTGCTCGAACTTGGTAGAAGATCACACACACACGCTCACGTTGGCAACGTTATATAGACTATCAGTGGGCTGAATAACTCATTTCAAAAGCTAAATTAGTGTTTTCAGGTTAGTCCCTTTTTTTTGGCAGAGTTATGCTTAAAATATATGAAGCTTTGTAAAACACGTTTAAAAATTGTTCACAGCATCTGGTAAACTAGGTCTAGTCCTTAGAATTCATGTTGGAGGTTGGGAATCTGCATTACTTATCCTGTGGTCATCATTTAGTCTGTAAATCTGTGAAGGTTTGCAGGATCAGCGCCGGTTTCCGTACTGATTTAATTAGTTTATGGCTTTATTCCTATTATTGATTTTCATGTTGGTGGCGTGGAATGGTTGGACTTAGTGCTATGCACTCACATATTAGAGAGACTCTGGGCTTAAGAACACCCCTCCTCAATTGGGTATCGCAGTTAAGGATGCTTCATCATAAATGAACCAGTATAGTGCATGATACATTTTATTGCAGTAGTGAACACACCTTGTATTTTAAATTATGAATTATCAAAAAGACTCATGAGGACCATTAAAGGGAGCAGTTTCTTCCACAGGTGGGTTTTGTTGACATAGGAGTCATACAAACCTGAGGTTTGAGATTTGACCCAGCTTCTTTCAAAGGGAAGCAGAGTACCCAGGGACAGACCTAATGGACACATGTCAGGCCTCACAGCTGAAGAAGCCTTTCGTGCTGGCCGCTGTGTTACTGTCCGCACACGCATCAAGGTGTTTACTGTCTGTCTAACTGATCATCGCAGCATCCGTATGCTCTGATCCTAGACTTATGTTCTTCAAAATCTCTCTCCCCGCTCCTTCGTGCAGCATGGACTCTGACAGTTTATAGCTTGAGAACATGAGTTTATAGTTTGAAAACATTTCTCTGTTTAGAAATTTGTAGGGAATTGCCAAGGATTTCTATGTCTCTCCCTTCCTTTCTGTACCTTGGAGTTTAAAGATTTAAAGGCAGAGTGTTGTTGCTGGAATAGATTGTACATAGAAATTTTCTGCTCTGCTTAGGAGAAAGGCTATATGAATTTAAAACAAAACAGAAAAACCAACACACCTTTTTTTTATAACTATAGGATATTTTAAGTAGTTTGAAAGAATTTATTTTTTAAATTTTTCCTTTTTTTCCAGGTCATCTCAGACAGTCCAAGGGATTTGTAGATTGCTGCAGGGTTAGGAAGGGTGCTGCTGTCCACCAAATACAGAAGCACATTTCGCTGGGGCCCCTGCAGGGCAAACCCAGCTCACTCTGATGTTTACCTGGTGGTGGTCCCATAATGTGGCCTCCCCTGTGGATAGTTATTCTCGGGCGTTGGGTGGAAGTCCTTCTGCCTTGTCTCCCTGTTGACACCCAGGGTCCCTGAGCTTTCGCTAACGAGGGCAAGGGTGGGTGGCTCAATTGCTGGCCTTTCTCTACCACTTATGAAATCTACCTGGTGTAGGATTTCAAGGTGTTGCTTACTTTTTAGGTATAATAAAGACACTTGAAAGGGGTGTGTGGAGTTACAGAGGGGTGGTGAGTCACAGGTGAGCAGGAGGGACACTCCCACAGCTCACATGCATTTAGATTTTGTTCCTGTATATTTAGCCGGATACAGAACTGCTGGCATCCTGGGGCTGCAAGAAGCAGGCGCCTGTGTGGTACGCTACAGACCGCCTTGCCTCGGTCCCCTTAGCGAGGGCAGTCTGTTGGTAGGGGCACTGTCCCCATAAGAAAGGACATCTGAGGGTTCTCTAATACCATAGTCCGTGGGCCATCATGTGTTTTTGTCACCAGTGTGAGCCACACAAGCATTCTGTGAGCCTTGATTTCGGACTGCTTATGAACTTTGGTGTCCTTTTGTTTTTGGATCAAACTCTGTGTGTGAGGCCACATCCTTCTCTGTGGGGACAAAGGGACTCAGTGTCCAGGTTCCCAGAGAGAGACCTCATTTCCCTACAGGGTTTTAAGCCTCCTAGTGGTATTACTTTGATGTGTTCAGTGTCACACAGAAGGTAATTCTCTTTCTTTTTAAAACTCATTTTTATTGATTTTTTTTTTAAATTAGAGACAATACTTCTTAACTTGGAGCAGTTAACTTTTCAGAGCTCAGAAGAAAACTGCCCAAGGGCCGCCTCCTCGGGGGCTCCCAGCGCCTCCTGTGGGGCTCCCTGGAGGGCGGCTGTGCAGTTAGGACGCAGACGCCCTGGCCTCGTGCTGTCTAGCCTTGCAGCTGCCTGTGTGGGAGCGAGGTCTGAAGCACAGTGAGCACTTTGGGTCGGTAGACGAAACCCTGTCTTTCGCTGTTCACATTTGCAAGTAGAACAAAATTTCCTCTCGTTCTGGGTTGTCTCTACTTTTGAGAAATGGCTTCAAACTCCGTTCTTCCTCGGGCAGAACGGGTACTTTT